GGGGTTAAAACTGTGCCTCTTCCATCTTCCCCCAAAAAAAAAAAAAAAAAAATAAAAAAAAAAAAAAAAAAAGAGAGAGGGAGAGAAATACATAACCTGTAAGAAAAGGGAGAAATTATTGAAAACCTTGATGCTGTGGGATGGTTCACTTCAAGACAAACATGACTGAGGATTGAGGTGACTCTTACAGATTACAAATGTAATAAAAAGTGCACAGCAACTGCAACACGCAAGTACAGCAACTGCAACACGCAAGTACAGACACTGCAAGTACTCCAGGATGCCTACAACAAGGTTACTTGTCCACTGTAATCACTGATGGCAGACTTGATAAACAAAGGGCACAAAATCCCCATAAATTGAGTTTTATTTTTCATAAATTCTTGTATATATTCTACTTCTTCATAAGTTTCCTCTTCTTTCAATACTTTGCAGTGCTCCAGGTTGTTGCTGCATGTTCTGGTATTCCATTGTTCCCAATGTTAACAATTTTATCTGAGTTCACTTGGGACAAAAAATTAATCAAGAATTATTAGGTGATACATAACTACTTGCTGTACTTCTCTAATTTTTGTTCTTTTTCAGTTCGACCTAGCCCCCTTCTTTCCTTTCCCACAGCAAGAGGAGTTTCCACTAGAATTGATGTTGCATCATAACTGTCCTGAATAGAGTACACCATTATTTTAACTAGGATATATTACTTGTTAAAACAAATAATAGATAAATAAATAAATACAAGTACTACTTTCAGCATGTAAATATTAATAAATAAATCTCAGCAATCAATAAATTAGTTATAAATTTACCTATCTGGCATCACTATGATATCTTGATACATGTTTTAAATGCAGTTAGTTACAAGGTTGACTAGATAAGCTTAAACTAGACTCACAATTAGACCTTCACTAAGAAACTGGAATTCCCTCTGTGAAAAAAATACCTGGTTATGTTTGGGTTAAACTGTTTTGCCTAACCTGTTATCCTGTTACAGAAATGGTCATAATTGGGTGCTCTACTACATGTATAAATTATTAATTTTACCATCAGTGTAGCCTCAGCCAAATTGCCACCACTTATGTTGCTGTGTTCACAAATAATGAGAAACTTTTGATTACATGAGACTAAGACAATTCTCAAAGTACTACATTTCCTTTCTTTTAATCTAAAACCCACAATTGTGAACTCCTAATAGCTGAGGCAGCCAATATAATTAGGCATGTCCTTCAGAATGATAGTTGATTGTTTTATAACTATTTATTATACATGGTAATTTTATTTTGTTGGTTCAGTTAGCATTTGCCTTTCTTGAAGAGGCCAACTTTAGTTTCAAACCACTATTAGTTGCTGGCTTCACAGATATTCCTTCCACTTTTTCTTTGTACACTTTTCGTTTTGTTTCTTCAAAAACTTGTTTGGCAATTAGCTGCTGCTCCTTTTTCCAGAAAAACAGAAAGTCAGAACTAAACTTGGCCCAGATGTCAAGGAATTCTTGTGGTGGACTACATGCAGCTGTAGGTTTAGCACTGAAATATCTCCAAAGGGATGAGTACCTGTAAGACACCTTTACCATCAGCTTAAGAAATTGTGAGTTATATGATTCTCAATCACTAAATTTATGAATCATAAGTCTCAAGTGGATACCACCTATTACCATGGAGAAAAGGATAACCTTCATAGCAAATAATGGCTAAAAGACCACACATTCATGATAACTCTGATTTAGAGGAAGAACTTGTATGTGGGACACTCCCTCCAATATACCAGAGAACTGATGACAGAGAGGCAAAAGTAACTTTAAGTTTGACACTTTTCCTACACTCCCAGACAGTTTTTGGGAAATTTGCTGCCCTTCTTGTCCTTCTCAAAAATAAAATATTGTATAAATATCTTGACAGTAATAAGAAGCAGTCTCTATGAAAGGGGTCAAATGCATAAG